ATCAAAGTATTATGGCTTAGCCATTAGAAGAAATATAGGTAGCTTAAAGGGCATCCGAAAGGCTGTCTGGGCCACACATTTCCACATGGCATAAACGGATACCAATACATCCCACAACCTTTGCCTGAAGGACGCTAACACCTGGTGCGAATTCAACCAAGCCCAGTTTAGTGGTGAACAATACATTCACCACTAGCACTAAGAGGGAAAGTACAGAAATTCAGAGTTTCGCTTCAGAACAGGTACTCGGCTCTTATCGAGGAAAACAGCCTTAGCGTTCATGCAATGAATGATAATCTGACGAGTATAACTACGGAGTGTGCAGTGGAAGTTGGAGGTACTGTAGTAAGACAGGACACTGGCAAGCTGTCCAAAGTATGAAGAATCTCATTAAGAAGCGTCAAAGCTTGAAAGCGTCAAGTACAACAGACAAAATAGAGTTGGTAGAGCTTTTGAAGTTGATTAATAAGCGTAAGGTATCTGATGTAAGAAGGAGAGAATTGAACACGCTCTGAAGAATGGAGGAAGCGTCAAAGCAGTGAAGAGAAAACTTGGGAGAGGCAAAAACCAGATGTATGCACTAAGGGACAAGGAAGGCAAAGTAACTACCAATGTAGATAGGATAGTAAAATTGGCGGAGGAGTTTTACAGAGATCTGTACCGTACCCAGCACAACCACGACCTTAATATAAGCACTAGCAGTAACCCAGATGACACCCAACCAGTAATGACAGAAGTAAGAAAAACCTTGGAGAGCATGCAAAGAGGCAAAGCTGCGGGTGAGGATCAGATAACGTCAGATCTGCTGAAAGATGGAGAACAGATTGTGTTAGAAAAACTAGCGACCCTATTTACGAAGTGTCTCCTGAGGGGTAGAGTACCAGAATCTTGGAAGAATGCCAACATCTCTCCTAATACATAAGAAAGGAGATGACAAGGACTTGAAGAACTACAGGCCGATCAGCTTGCTCTTCGTAGTATACAAGCTATTTACAAAGGTAATTGCCAACAAAATTAAGACAACATTAGAATTCAATCAACCAAAGGAACAAGCAGGATTTCGAACAGGCTACTAAAAAATTGACCACATTCATACTATCAATCAGGTAATAGGGAAATGCTCAGAATATAGCCAACCACTATACATAGCCTTCATAGATTACGAGAAGGCGTTTGACTCAGTAGAAATATCAGCAGTCATGCAGACACTGCGGAATCAGAGCGTAGACGAAGCATATATAAACATCTTGGAAGAAATCTACAAGGGATCAACTGCTACCATAGTGCTTTATAAGGAAAGCAACAGAATACCAATCAAGAAGGGTGTAAGGCAGGGGGATAGAATCTCTCCAATGCTATTTACCGTGTGTTTACAGGACATTCTCAGAGACCTAGAATGGGAACAGTTAGACATAAGAGTTAATGGAGAGTACCTTAGTAACGTGCGCTTCGCCGATGACATTGCATTGCTGAGTAACTCAGGGGACGAATTGCAACTCATGATTACGGAGTTAGAGAAGGAGAGCAGAAAAGTAGGTCTTAAAATTAATCTGCAAAAAACGAAAGTAATATACAACAACCTCGGAAGAGAACAGAGCTTCGAGATAGGTAATAGCGCAGTTGAAGTTGTAAAAGACTGTTTACTTAGGACAGGTAATAACCGCGGAGCCGAACCACGAGACTGAAATAACTAGAAGAATAAGAATAGGGTGGAGCACATTTGGCAAGCACTCTCAAATCATGACAGGTAGATTGCCACTATTCCTCAAGAGGAAGGTATATAACAGCTGCATGTTGCCGGTACTTAGCTACGGTGCAGAAACCTGGAGAGTTACAAAGAGGGTTCAGCTTAAATTGAGGACGACGCAGTGAGCAATGGAAAGGGAAATGGTAGGTGTAAACTTAAGAGACAAGAAGAGAGCAGAGTGGATTAGAGAACAAACCGGGGTTAAGGATACCATAGTTGAATTCAAGAAGAGGAAATGGACATGGGCCGAACATGTAGCACGTAGACAGGATAACCACTGGTCATTAAGGGTTACTAACTGGATTCCTAGAGAAGGCAAGCTTGTTAGGGGGAGACAGAAGGTTAGGTGGGCAGATGAGATTCAGAAGTTTGCGGGTATAAATTGGCAGCAGCAAGCACAGGACCGAGTTGACTGGCGAAACATAGGAGAGGCCTTTGTCCTGCAGTGGACGTAGTTAGGCTGATGATGATGGTGATGAAGAATACATTCACTAAGAACGCCTGCCAGCATTCTTAAAGTTGCTAAGCCAATTTATGAGCAACTTGCTAATCCCAAATTACTTGTGAAATGCCTCTATGGGAAAATTGAAAACCCCTAACGAGTTGTTCAACAATGTCGTGTGCGAGCGCGCTGCAAAAAACGTGTCTCTCAGACACCTAACACTGAAAATATACAGTCTTGGTGCTGTAATCACCTTTAATCATGGCAATATAGCTCGTGCGAATGTGCAGAACTTGTTTGGAATTTAGACAGGTCGCTACACAGTGCAGGGCCTACATGCACTTGACCTGCGTTGACAGCACTTCGCTGACAGGGCTGCAAAGCAGGTGTCGGAGGAGGTCCACCAGGCCAGACGTCTCAACTCAAAGAAAAAGTGATTTTCGTGATGAGTATATGGCTGGTGCCTATTAAAAACATCCTTCAATTGACAGTTATTTTGTGGTACTTTTGAAATAAAGCATATTTTCTACTTTAAATGTAGTTATCATTTAGCATGCTTTTTTTGTATTTATGTACCTTTTTCTCAGCAACCAATGTATCTAGAAACACAGATTTCAGCCAGTATTTAGAGAACATGCTAGAGAATATACTGAAGCGGAACTATCCTTGTGTGAAGAAGTACTTTTTTTAACACAACATCTAATACAAATTAACGAGTGATAATTAGGTACCTCAAGTAAAAAAATTACAAAAAATAAGCATTAAAAGTTTTAGGGATGATTCTGCTGCAGTAAGAAGAGAAATGGCTTATAATCACAATTATAGTAAAGTAATTACTGTAACTCTTATGGTTATGGAGAAAAAGGTACATAAACTTGGCCTAAAATACATGGCGGGTATAGGGCCCATACCAGGCCCCAAACCAAATTTTAGTTAGACATTGGAAGTTGTTGGGTGTTTGATGAGGAACGTTTTGCCACAAAAATTTTTTGAATCGGTTCATGACGAGCCGAGAAAACAGGCTTTTTTAAGTGGCGCGAAACGAGGATGAGAGGAGGCGAGCTCGAAACCCTTGCCGCTCGTCCGCATAGCCTTCTCAAGCCAAATCTCTTCCCCACCCTCTCAGGCATCTGACCAAGAGCTCACGCGCGCATGACGTGCCTAAACAAGTCCAACCCCTGAGCACCCGAGCAACGTTGCTTTGTTGACCAGCGTTATTTTGTGGTCTTCTGCCTGTTTCTGCGGGATGGTTAGGAAAAGCCGGCTTAGATGCAGTAGAATAGTTGCACAATGAGTGCGCGAACGCGTAGGAGCGTTGCACAGCGGTCGTCTGCTCGATGCGCTGACCGCGGGTACACGAACGCATGCGAAACACCGACACATTAGCCACGCATTTCGTTGCGATTCACGGGAGAAGAAATGAAAAGAAGACGCTCACATTCCCCTATTGCGTATCATTATTTTTCTAGAGCTTTATCAATCTCTTCAAGCAACAAATTACATGAACTACCCATGCCATGTTAATTAATTTTTGTCATATCACGTGCCACTGTCTGCAACGTCAGAGCAGAGTCGTCTACGTAGAGGACCAACATCACTGCATCGGCGTGTACGTAGGGCCATTCATACGCGCACGTCATGCCCTCATTCTCTGAGCGCGCGCCGGCAGAGGTAAGAGGGAGCAGCGTTCACCTTGAAATTTGACCCATTTTCGCAGGGCATAGCGTTGCAAATTTTGGCAGACGTGATCACGAACACCTCGTCCACGCATTGCGCTTGTCAGCTCAAAATTGTCAAACCTGGTGAGTGGCCCTTTAAGCACCTGTCTTTGCTAGACTATTGCGGGAACCGCACACCATCCCCTTCTTTTTAACAAAGTTAGTCTTTTTTTTTTTCAATGTTGCCATCACGCTATAAAAAAAATCAACGTAAGCGCAAAGTAATGAATGAGATAGCAACAAATTGGATTGTCATACAAGGTACGGCTAGCAGCTAATAATTTTGGATCCAAATCGCGTAACTCTACAAAAGCCGCGCCAGAGAGAGATCCTTTTTTCGCACAGTCACTTCGCCTTGAGAACGCAGCGTGTAGAAGGGTTTACGAGCCATTCACGATGATCTAAAAATTGCCAAAATAGCGCGAGCACCACTGACCACGCCCTCATAATCAAATGTTCACAGTCTCTGTTCGAATGATCACGGCCCGGACAAAAGTGAAACTACATCAGTTTTGATGAAACCGAAAACACAATGTTGCAGTCACGGTCTCGGGCAAGTCATAGAGTTTCCTAATTGATTGATTGATATGTGGGGTTTAACGTTCCAAAACCACCATATGATTTTGAGAGACGCCGTAGTGGAGGGCTCCGGAAATTTCGACCACCTGGGGTTCCTTAACGTGCATTAAAATCTGAGCACACGGGCCTACACCATTTCCGCCTCCTTCGGAAATGCAGCCGCCGCAGCCGGGATTTGAACCCGCGACCTGCGGGTCAGCAGCCAAGTACCTTAGCCACTGGACCACCGCGGGGCCACTGGACCACCGCGGCGGGGCCATAGAGTTTCCTAAAATTTATAGGAAACTCTATGAGGCATGAAGCTCGCACGGCGGAGCTTGATGGGCGCCAAAGTCCGTGTCCTGAGGCTTAGTACGGTGCTAGATGGCGCAGATAAACAAGCTTTGCGCACAATGGGGTGATCGGCACAGCTGTTCCACCCCCGCTGGTGCTTATGGCTATGTCGCCAGTAAAAGAATGGGCAGAGTGAAACTTAAATGTTCAGAATTACGACTTCTAAATGCAAGAACACTTGTGCTCAATGTAGAATGGTTTATTTCACTGACAAGAAAAAACAGTGCTTTCAAAATAAAGTGTTGGTAAATGAAACAATACAATTACAAAGGCCTAGTCTCAACAATATAAACACATCGCTCATCAAAAACGGTCTCGTTCCTAACAGAATGCCATAAGAATAGTTCAAAAAGCATTTGCAAAAGTCGCATTAGCTCATGTTAATAAAAGTATTTGCAAAAGTTGCATTAGCACAAATGTTAAAACCTTACAAAAAGTAGACACGTCTGTATATATATATATATATATCTCATAGTCAAGACATCCATTTTTCCCCCTCATTGCTTCAAGTATGTCTAAATGTATGTGCTCTTTCATATGCACTTGCACGTATACGAAGGAGCACATATGAAGGAGCCAAACTAAAAACTTTAAGCCATGTATAAAAGGCGTTCAGTAATATTTGGGAGCGATATACACCCTGAAAATGTGTCTGCACTTACTGCAAAAGCAGCATTAAACGATATTCTACAGGAGGAATTCATGGTTCAACTGTTAGCTCCCTTTTTACGCCCCCATGCATATCTACAGAGAACTCCCCACGCAAAAGCAGCATTAAACGATATTCTACAGGAGGAATTCATGGTTCAACTGTTAGCTCCCTTTTTACGCCCCCATGCATATCTACAGGGAACTCCCCACCCAAGTTCCCCAAGCCTTGTCACGGAGCTAAGTGCTCAAACAAGAATTCCTCTATCGTGTCTGTGTCCCACTTCTTAATGCTGAGTTCCTCTTGCACTTCTCCAGTCTCATCATAGAGCTTGATGATTGGATCTGCACCTCTCAGGTACTTGATACTTAGATTGGGAAACTGCTTTGGCTTGGGCCCACGGCAAAATGCTGCAAAAAAAACAAGTCATTATGTACAAGCATAGGCAAAGTGTAGTTGCACAAAAGATTATGTGAATGTCACAGCCATTTATCGCATATAGCTATTTTGTAAACTTACTATCAATGTCACTGTACTCATACCAGGGGCGTAGCCACAAATGACATTTTGGGGTCGGAAGGTGTCTAACAGCTTAGGTACATTTTTGCATGTGTTTGTATGTATGTAGAAAAACGCACAAAAAGTAAATATTTTGAAAGAGTAAGCGAAAGAGGGGTTCATACCCCTCAGACCGTTCCCTGACTGCGACTTCTATACTAGAGCCGTTTAGGCTGTGCGGCAATACTTTCTAAACATGGCAAGGAAAAGCTCACAACCTGTAGACCAGGCGTCTCAAACAAATGGCCCTCTGGCCACATGTGGCCCGCACATTCACAAGAAATAAAATGTTCAAACCTTTGCTAAATAGTATTCCCATTATTTACTTGCCTATTGTGATTAACAATGCTTTTTTCAGTAAGACTATCGAGACCGGACTGATTTTAAGCATTTGCTTTTGTAAGGCACCTCATGCCGTCATCATCATGTGTTGAAACATGACCGCAGAACAAGATATCAATATTTTACAATCGGTGTCCAGATTTCAATCTCTCTGGAGTTCAGTATCAATATATTTCTTGAATTGTGATGCCACATCCTTTCAATAGGGCCCTGTAATACTCTTTGAGCATTGCCAGAAAATGCTGCCAATCAATAGTCTAGAGCACACAAAACGTGAGTCAAATACAGGGGCTCCGGAACCAGGGAGGCACTGGGGGCTGTCGCCCCCACAGGTAAGAAACCAAGCCCCCCCCCCCAACAGCTGTTACGACCCCCTCCCCCTCTTTTTCTCGCCTTAGCAAAAACAGATACGTATTAACACCCCTGCAAGTTTATATATATATATATATCCCTACCCACAAACCTCGCCCCCACACTTCAGACAGATATACTTTTGGAGCCCCCCCTGGCCAAATATTACTGCACCGCACGTGGCCTGAAATTCACAATGAATTTTCAATGTCAGAAAAAAATTGCTTTCTCTTCTTTCGACAAATGACGCTATGAGCTCAAAAATCACTCGTCACAGCCATTGCATCAGCCATTGACTGATTTGAGCATGACGCGCTCAGTCATTGCAGGCGCCACCATGGGAGGCCGCAACTTGTCCACGTGTGCACACGCGATCACACTGAAAAACCGCTTAGTCTAAGAAAAAAAAAAAAAAGAGACTGAGAAAGTGTGCGAGTTCACGAGATGCACGTGATGTATTTTCTTTCCTCGTGCCATCCCTCCCTGCTTAGTTTCCAGTACTTTCGTCGAGACAAAAGGAGAAAGAATGCAATTGCGGCTGCCACAAATTTTTGCAACTTTGCTCGTACTGGACGTACTCCAAAAATTTTTTCAGCAGTGAATTCGTGAAACAATATGCTCCTTGTAGTAAATCCATTCAATGGCTACTTGAAAAAATGTTGCAGGGCCACTTTAAGAAATTATCCATACATGAGATGCAGGAAATGCTTTCTTACAATCCCCTGCCCCTTCCTCCCCTGCTTCAACTTTACTCATCGTCCTGGCCCCTGCAGGACAAAATTTTCTGACTGCGGCCCGCCAGCTGACGTGAGATCCCTACGTGTTAACAAACTAAATATGGGAAAGAGAGAGCTCAGGGATGGATGAGTTGAGGAGCCGCATTGTGTACTAAACATTTTTTGCAACACTGCTATCTACGATATCGGTCTTCACCCACATATATTGTAGTTTTGGCCTGTGAAACCCCACATATTGTTATATCACATCACCTGATGCATGCACCTGTTTGCACCCATGAGGAACTCCCAAAAAAACTGAGTTGATGCAGGTACCGAGCTGCAGTTGTTAAGCTAGCAGTTATCTGGTTCTTCAATGTAGTCGGGCAGGAAATGGTGCTGTACAGAACAAATTTATTAGTACATTAACTCTTTCCCTATCAAAGACAAACTAAACTGGGCTCATCCACATGGTTGGTAGCACTCCCACAGCGGACAAGTTGAGCTCATCCATGCTGAAAGAAGCATTTAGGGGCACCACAATTAAACTACCCTGATTTATTATGTCAAGTTTTCTTTGGCTTGAACAGATGATAGAGTGAAAAAAAAAACACGCCAAAAGCATGCATTATGGTCGAAACTGGACTGGATTCTGGAAGCAGGAGTTAGAAAATGGCATCTGCTGAGAAAAAAATGTGGAAAAGAAATGCTCGCTTGCTGCAGTTTTGTGGCATAAATAATATCAGTTATCCTGCGAGTGTAGCAGTGACCAGTGACTACCCAGGGCAGCACATTAAAAAAAAAAAGATCGTTGGGTTTGGACAATGACCTCGTCTCACTGTATCAGCAGTGGGTGCCGATAGATGTAAAGAAACACCTAGCACGTGTTCTAGGTGCTTTTTCACGAGCTCCTTAGTCCCTCCATATTAATTTTTTAATTACATAGATTTTCTGCATTAAAAACTGGAGAGCTTAGGGCACTTTTCATGGTGCAGTAGAGTGAAGCCTACCGTATGCATATTTTCAAAACTAGTTTGCTTGTATTTATTTTTATTTATTTATTTATATTTATTTATAGTACCCTCAGGGCCAAAAAGGCATTAAAGAGGGGAGTGGGTAAATGCATGAAAAATACAAATAAAACAGTGCAATAAATACAAAAAATAAAAAAATAAATACAAATAAAATAATACAATAAAAGACAGATAATACTAACATTTCTGCAGAATGTATAAAACTAGTTATTTCCAAACATACAAAAACAGAAGCAATAAGCATAGGTAACAGATTTTTTTGGTTATACAACGTTAGCTAATGTTTCGTGAAAAAGTTTGAAGTCAGTGATGGTTGCGACATTCGAGGGAAGGCGGTTCCCATCATGAGATGTGCGGGGAATAAATGACTGAAAGAAAGACCTAGTGTGACATGATGCGATTCCTACTTTATTGCGATGATCAACACGGTTTGAGATGTACAGAGGCTAGAGTATCAGGTCATTATGACATGTAGGGTCATAGAAAATTTTATGAAACAGTGAAAGACGAGCGATTTTTCGTCGGTGAGCCAATGGAATAAGTGATAAATTATTTTTCCTTAAAGTCATACTTGCAGTGCGGTTGTAATTAGAGAGGATGAACCTAGCAGAGTTATTTTGTACTAGTTCAAGAGAGGTGATGAGATTAGCAGGACTGGGATCCCATATGGCGGATGCATATTCGAGTTTGGGGCGTATGAGAGACTTATAGAGTACTAGTTTGAAGAAAGAGGGTGCTTTGGAGAAGTTACGTCGTAAGTAGCCGAGCATGCGATTTGCATTGTTAATCACATGCTCTACATGAGTTGTCCAACTTAAGTTATTTGTGATGTGCACGCCAAGATATTTTTATAAGACAAGACGGAATCTAAAGGAACGTTGTTTAGGTGGTAGGCGTTATGATTTGAGTTAGTTTTTGATATGTGCATTATCTTACAGTTCTCAATATTAAGTTTCATTAACCAGATATTACACCAATTAGCTATATTATTTAGGTCAGTTTGAAGTGTTTAGTATCATCAACATTGGTAATTTCGCGGTAAATAACACAGTCATCTGCGAACAGATGTATGTTAGAAGTTATTGAAGAAGTTAGATCATTATTTATACAAGAAATAATAAAGGTCCCAACACTGAACCTTGAGGCACACCTGATTGTACTTCAATGAGTGGTGAATGATGGTCGTTAGCAGTTACGAATTGGAAACGATTAGAGAAAATGTTCTATCCATTTAAGAAGGTTAGTGTCGATATTTAGCAAGCTTAGTTTTAAGAGCAGTAATTTATGGCAAACCTTGTCAAATGCTTTGCTAAAATCTAAAAAAATACTGTCAGCACAAGATGATCGATCCAGGATTTGATGCAGATGATGAGTAAACGAAGCAAGCTGTGTCTCACAGGAGTACTGTTTTCTAAAACCATGTTGCGCTTTAGCAAAGTATGAGTTAGACTCTAGACAGTTAGCAAGGTTCGAGAAGATTACATGTTCTAATAATTTGCAACAATTACTTGTTAGTGATATGGGTCGGTAATTAAGAGGAGAGTTTCTGGGGCCAGATTTATAGATTGGAACCACCTTCCCTATTTTCCATTCCTTTGGAAGTTGACATGTACTCAATGATTGTTGAAATATTTGACTTAGTATCATTGAACTAACTACGTTAGTGCTTTTAAGAAATTTGCTATTAATGCCATCATAGCCAGGAGCAGAGTGGAACGGTAACTTATCTATAGTTTCAATATTCCAGGTACCTCAATAGGCATGTAATTATAGTGGTGCGCATAAGGGAGTATGGTGTTGGCGGATTCAGAGTACTGGCTTGAAAATGAATCATTAATAGCTGATGCGCACATGTTATCGGGAATATTATTTCCAGATGAATCTTCTAGTGATATAGTGTTGTTAGTGGTTGGGTTAATCATTTGCCAAAACTTTCTAGGGTTATTTTTCAGTGTTTCAGGTAGTGTTCTAGTTAGGTAGTTGTTTTTCGCAGTTTTTAGAGCTCTTAAGTAGGCGTTTGCAGCAGATTTGTAAGTTGTCCAACGCGAAGATGAAGGCGAGCTTTTAGCTAAATGAAAGAAACGCTTTTTCCGATTAGATAGGCATTTAAGCGATTAAGGTGCCTCTAAATAGCTTTTTGAATTAATTTAAGACCCAGAGGATCAAACGAACAAGTAGAAAAAAAAAACAGTATTTTGTTTTTTGTATGGTTCTGGCTCAGAAACTTGGTAGATAAAGGGCGAAAAAGATGAAAATTATTGCTATGTCTTCCAATGATACAAGATTTCGAGATTTAAGGTTGTTTGTATAGAATAGGGTTTAACTTTACAAATTGGCTCAGGCTACAAGGGTTGCCTAATGGAAGGCTCCAGATAATTTAGACTAGATGGGGCTCCTTTAAAGGGGTCC